GTGAGCATCGGACGGTAGCCCACCGTCGAGCCGCGGTCCCACATCTCAAACCTGAAGAGGTAGAGAAGAGTGGCTGCAAATATCTTCATCTGCCTGTAGGCGAACTCCTTTCCCAAGCAGATCCGAGGCCCCGCCTATGTTCAACAAGAGGACAAACGTACACACACGTCACATGAATGGATATACTCCTCTACTTAGGTGCAATGATTTATGAGATACTCCCTCCATTCCATAATGTAGCGCATATAATTTTTTTGTAAAAGTCAAACTTTATAAACTTTGATCAAGTTTGTAGAAAAAATCATATACATCTAGAATACCAAATACATATGCTTAGATATATCACAAGACATACTTTCATATTATATGCATTTGGTATTGTAGATATAAATAGTTTTTTCTATAAACTTGATCAAACTTTATAATGTTTGACTTTATAGAAAATATATATGCGTTACATTATGAAACAGAGGGAGTATGTGTTTCGCTCACTCACCTGGAAAGCGGTGAACTTGTAGGGGCTCTCCGGGACGAACACGCCGTCACCGTCGAGCCACCTCTCCGGCCTGAACTCCTCGGCGTCGTCGCCCCATAGGAACTTCATCCGGCCCATGGCGAAGGGCTGGTAGTTGACCATGTCCCCTCTCCTCACGGCGTGCCCGTCCGGCAGCGTGTCATCCGAGAAGCAGCACTTGACGTCCTGCAAATGCAACAACCACCAAATCAATGGTGTACTTGATCATTTCCCTGGTCTTGAAAATGCTCCATGCGGATGATCCAGCCAGGCCGACTCACGACGGGCACCGCCGGGTACAGCCGGAGGGTCTCCGTGAGCGCGGCGTGGAGGTAGTGCATGCTGCCGATGGCGTCTTCGGTCAGGCGCGCCGTGAACTCTTCCACGCCGCCCGCGTCCTGGCGGTCGCCGGTACTGGTGGCCTCCCGCACCTCCCGCGCGATCTTGTCCTGGATGCGCTGGTCTCTGCAGAGCACGTGGAGGAACCACGAGAGCGTCCCCGCCGTCGTGTCGCGGCCGGCGATCACGAAGTTGAGGATGATGTCCCGCAGGTACTTGTTGCCGAAGCAGCCGGGGTCTTTCTCCCTCTCCAGCAGGAACCTCGACAGTATGTCCCCTTTCTTGGCCTGCCAAAATCAAGAAATGTCACAGTTTTTCTCCCTCCCCAGCAGGAACCTCGACACTCGACAGTATGTTGCTTACGTACGAATTCGTGCCCATCTCTGCCCATCTGCTCCATCTTCTTGTCGATGACGGCGTACACGAAGTCGTTGATGGTGCCCACCCACCGCTTCATGGCCGCCTCCGACAAGACGCCGAGGAGCCTCTTGGCCTTCCAGAGCGGGTCCAAGAACCGGTACAGCACCTGCTCGCTGGCGTCGTCGAACGCCCTGGCGAACGCCGCGCCCTTCTTGTTGGATCCGGAGAGCGCGCCGAGGTTGACCCCGAACCCAACCGTGAAAATCGAGTCCAGCGTCGACCGCATGAACAGATTCTCCATGTCCACCCTCTCCCCGGCGGCCGCGGCGGCGGCGACGATGCCCGCGAGCTCGGCGGCCACGTCGCGGAACACGCCGCTGCTGTACTCGCGGAGCGCTCGCGTGGTGAACTCAAAACTGGCGACCTTCCGCTGGTGCCGCCACTTGGCGCCGTCCACGTTGAAGATCCCGTCGCCGAGGAGGTCCTCCAGCACGCCGTGGGTCATCGGCCCCTTGCCGTAGTTGGCGAAGTTGGTCCGGAGGATGTGCTCCACGTTGGCCGGGTCGACGGTGTACACCCAGTTGCCGCCGTAGGTCAGGGTGAGCATGCGGAAGGTGCCATACCTGCGGGAGAGCTCCGTCATGTACTCCGGCAGCCGGCCCCAGTTGAGCAGCTGCTGGAGCATGGTGCCGGCCACTGGCGGGTAGTTCCGACGCCGCCTCTGGCCGCCGAGCAGGTACAGGGCTAGGAGGAGGAGGAGCACCGACGAGAGCGCGGCCAGCAGCAGCGGTGAGTCCATGGCCGTGAGACGGCGCTGGGTCACGTATGGTGCTCGACTGCGCCGAGTGTGTGGATTGAGGAGGCCATACTGTTCTCATCATTTAGCGAGGAGGTGTGTCCGTTTTCTCCTTTTCAACACACGTGTCGAGGGCGATCATTAGCAGATCGGTCTGGTGAGACGTACGGCGTGCCGTTTTCCAGTTAACTGCACAATGACGCCGACGAATGAACATCAAAGTCTGGTGAGAGTGAGACGAAACTAACCACAGAAAACTTTTGGAAAATCCGAGATGTTTACTGTTTGTGGATTGTAACCCTACCTACATCAAGACCAGATAATTGATGCCGATAAGCCAAAACTCGTTTTCTTTAGGGCTACAAGCCAAATCTAATTAAACTCATTAAGAGGCGCTCGAATGATGGCTAACCAGCTACCCCATGTGACGTATGCTGGTTAGTCATGGTGAGAAAGTTTACGATAAAGAGACTTTTTTCGTGAAAAGTTTTTCTAGGCTTTTTCTAAAAATGATTGTGATGTCCACGTGACGCATGAATATTTTAAAAAATAATTACCATGATGATGAAGTGCGTATAGCTTTCTCTCAAACGACCCGCAATGACGAGCCCCAACCACTAGTACTCATGGCTAGTCACGCCTTGGAAGCGTTTCTAGAGACGAAAATATCGGATACTTTGAGTTGACGTGTGCAAACTCTAACCATTGATCCTTATTATATCTCTAGAACTTGAGTTGGCGTAGTCATGGGGATCAGTGGCAGAGGCGGGGGTGCTAGCAGGGGCCCCGACCCAGGTCAACATGCAGATTTTGCCACTGCGTGAGGGATTATCTGCTGCTAATATTTATGTATTATGATGATTTTGCTGGCTTTGACCCTCCCTAACATGATTTAACATCAGTTGCCCCCCTATTAAGTTTTTCTGGCTTCGCTACTGATGAGGATCATGTGTGTAACTGTAAGCGCCGCCGAGATGAGGATGACGCGCACCAACAAGAAAAAGAGGGAAGAAGATACGAGAAGGCGCGAGGAGCGGTGATGCAAGCGGAATCGGGCTTCCACGTACCGTACGGGCGGCATGGTCTGCGCCGTTAAACCATGGGGTGAAGGAAGCTGGAGCTTCCCTCCTGCCACTTCCCCTCGAGTGTACTAACAAAATACATCGACATATCCTTGTAAATTTACACTTAAATCGATTCGTCAACAGAGTTCAGCTCGCCATATTTTTCAGTTTGCAACTACACAAAATATAATAACCTTTTGCCCTTCTTAACACACGAGCCAGGGATGCGCAGAATGCCAAACACCGAATATTTGTTTCTGCCAGCAAGACCTGTGCAACTACGGACCCTGCTAAGGGACTGTTATCCTTTGATGCTTTACATGAACATAACTACAAAATAATACTACCTCTGTAAAGAAATATAAGAGCGTTTAGATCACTAGTACACCTTAATGAGTCATGCTTGCAATGATTGGGTGAAGTGGCAAACAGGACACTCGGCGGTTCTCTTACCCAGTCTGAGTTTTGAAACTAAGGTTGAAAGCACAACAAAACTTGGGTTTACAAGAATGATTAAGCACAATATAGTTGCCTTGTGATCAGTACTTGTGCATGGGAGAGAAAACAGGTAAGCTTTGCTACAAAGGAAATTAAATTGAACAGCGTGAGTTTTTTCAGAGTGCCATCCCCAGTAGCAATGGTTGGATGAACCATGTCCCCAGTAGCAAGGTGTGAAAACACACACCAAGTATTCATATTCAGACATTATCAGTAGGCGGCAGCAGCTCCAGCAAACTTCCTGAATAGCCTGGCCGCGTCCATGACGCCATTCGAAACGGCGACATGATCGCCATCCTCGTTGGTCTTGTTGGCTGCTTCATCGAGGAAGCAGTGCGCCGGCGCCTGCCACTGGGAATCGTCTTCCAGCACCACGCCCACCTCGAAGCTCATCACAAACTGCTCTATCCCCGTCACTGCAACCATGCAAAGCTCCATCAAATCCGGTAAAGTTCAGACATCACGTGGAGTAGTAGTAGCAATGGGGATATACCATCAATGAAGTTCCAGCGGACGGGGCGGCGCGTGAGCGCGTCCTCGTAGTAGACGATGAAGCCGGCCTTGCCCCAGACGTGGCAGTCGAACCCGCCTGTGGTCTCGCGGCCGAGGTAGACAGCACTGCCGTCGGCGAGCCACCCGGGGCGGAGCACGCCGACGGGGAACTGCTCCGTGCGGCACGTGGCCGAGTCGAAGTAGAAGGTGGTGCCGTTGTTCCACTCCACATCGTACAGCGGGTCGCCTGAGAGTTGGTGCTGGATCAGGTTCAGGTTGCGCCGCCGCGGCCAGTCGTAGTACAGGTCGTGCAGGCGGAGCGGCGGGCCCGATGAAGCAATCGAGACGTTGGTCAGGTTTGTGAACAGCACCGCGTGGAACTGCTCCGGCCACGGCGCCGGCCCGTCGGGCGTCATCGCTGAGGACGCCCCCGCCGCGGTGGGGGCGGCGATGAGCAGGAGCTGGAGCAGTGGCCATGCCATGTCTGTCCCAGACCTTATCTTTGGTTACACCTGTCTGTCTGCTGGTGAGTGAGGGGTGACCACCACCAGTGACCAAAAGCAATGGATGAGTGGGCAGCAAATGTATACCATCCATGTGCAGCAATTTCAGCCGCACAAGCTTCTTGGAGATTTATCGATTGGGTTGACAATGAAACGAATATCAAGTTTCAGTGATGAGTAGCGCATAATCGATGTCGTCAACTCTGTGTAAAATAAAATAATATCACTTGTTAGCATGGTTCCAAACTACTTCGAGCTATGTACATGAAAGAAAAATACACCTAATGAAGCATTTCGTAAACTAGTTATTAGGAACATGGTAACAAAAAATACCAAAAATGTTTAAGTTACCTGATAGATGTGCTCTTACAATCCTTAGTTGTTTGTCAGCATGTTCAGTGTGCATCCTTCATTTGCACAAGAAAGCCTAGTCCCTACCAATAGTCTCCACAAGAACAAACTCCATCCTTGAAATGGTGAAACCTGCTTGAATCTCTTACAATTATGTCTCTGTTCACAATCTTTGACATCATCTTGATTGCAGCATGGCAATCTAGGCAAGCAGATAGATTCTTCATAACTCTAATTGGCGTCCCTGGTGGGGTGTTAATCAGAGCAAATGCAATGGCCAATCTCTCGCTGTGGTATTTCAATGACTCCAACTTCAAGTCATCGTCCACTTGATGCAAGGCACAGCTAGTGTCGGGCTTATATCCTTGTTTATCCATCTCTTTGTACAGCCTCTCTAGCTCTTCTTTCATCTCGGATATCATCGGGTTGGTTTGGTCATTTGAAGAAAAGCTGTAGATTTTCTGTTTGATTTCAACCCAACTGTAACCTGACTCTTTCCTAAGTCCTCTATTTCTCATGATCTTTTTAACATGGGCAGCGTCTTCCCATTTACCCGCCTTTGCATATATGTTGGATAGTATAACGTAAGGTGTCGCATCGGTGGATCCCATACTGAACAACTTTTCAGCTGCCACTCTAGCTAAATCCTGGTTTCCATGGATCCTGCATGAGTGAAGAATGGAGCTCCAAATGATTGGGTCATCTTCAAACGGCATCATGCTCAACATTTTCTGAACTTTATCAAAACGTCCCACCCGACCTAATGTATCGATAACACAAGCATAGTGTCCCTTCCAGGGGGATATGCCATATTCATGTTCCATCAATTCAAAGTATTTCATACATTCTTCTGCAAGACCGTTGTGACTGCAGGCTGACAGTACACTCAAGAAGGTGACTGAATCTGGTTTGAACCCATAATGAAGCATACCTTCAAACATCTTGATGGCATTCTTTGCCTGCCCGTAGTGCGCGTAGGCTGAAATAACAGCATTCCACGAGATAGAATTCCTCTCGGGCATCTCATCAAATGTTTGGAGTGCCTCATCCAAACAGCCACACTTTGCGTACATGTCAAGAAGGGCACTTCCTGAGAACACACTGGAGATGTGGCCTGATCTGATGGTGTAAGAATGCAACTGCCTCCCTAACCCGATCATTGCCAGGCTTGAGGAAGCCTTAATGATGCTTGAAAATGTCGCCCTGTCCGGGCTCAGACCAGCTCTTCTCATGTCACAGAATAACCGCAGCGCTTCCTCCAGCTGCCCATTCTGGACATACCCGGTTATCATTGCTGTCCATGAAACGCCTGTCTTGTCATTCTTGTTGAGAAAATTGGTCTTTGCAGCATCCAGCATCCCACATTTTGAGTACATGTCAATCAGGGCGTTGCCCACAAGATCCTCCGAAGAAAGGCCAAGAAGGACCAGCTGAGCATGTATTTGCTTCCCAATCCCAATGTGAGGCAGTGAGCCAGTAACACTCAGCAAACTAGCATAAGGTAAGGCCTGCCTGTCGAAACAGAGTATCTGCATCTCTCTGAACAGCCGCAGCGCTCTGCTAGCGCACCGGTTCCAAGCATAGCCTGAGATCATGACATTATATGAGACATTGTCGCGCTCCGGCATCTCGTCGAACAGCTTCTCCATCTCAGCAAGGCAGTCACATTTGGAGTAGAAATCCAGCAACGAGTTCTTGACAAACACGTTGTGCGCCGAGGTGGCTCTGGCCACAAGGCCGTGGACCTGGCGCCCAAGTTGGAGATCACCCATGCCCGTGGCGACAGTGAGCATGCTGGAGAAGGTGAACTGGCTGGCGTCAAGACCCTGGCGACGCATATCAGTAAATAGGCCCAGCGCTTCCCTGTGCAGCCCCTCCTTGGAGCACCCCATCATCATGGCATTGTAGGTGACGGAGTCCCTGTGCGGCATCTCCTGGAACACTCTCATACCAGCAGCGAGGAGGCCGTGCTTGCAGTAGGCGTCGAGCAGCGTGTTGCAGACGACGACGCTGGAGTGGAGGAGGCCGAGCTTGACGGCGAAAGGGTGGAGCGACGCAGTCACGGCGCCAGAGGCAGGCACGTTGAGCACGGTGGACACGGTGACGCGGTCCGGGGCGACGCCCTCCCTGAGCATGTCGCGGAAGAGGGCCAGGGCGTCGGCGGCGCGGCCGGGGGCGGCGGCAAAGGCGGCCATCATGATGGTCCAGGTGACGGCCTCGCGGAGGCGGGGCGGGGAGGAGAGGAAGAGCTGGTGCGCCGCGGCGAGCTGGCCCGACCTGGAGTAGCCGGAGAGCATGCGGTTGAGGGAGAAGGCGTTCTTGGTGTGGGGCATTTGGTCGAACAGGGCGCGGGCCTGCGCGAGGCGGCCGGAGGAGATGAGGGACTGGAGGTGGAGGTTGAGGCGGTAGGCGGCCGGGTCGAAGCCCGTCTTGACCATGCGGGCGTCCGGCGGCGTGGCGGCGCCGAAGCCGGCGACGGGGCCGGCGCGGGGGAGGACGGCGTCGGCATTGGCTACGGCCACGGTGGGTCTGAACGGGAGGCGCATTGCGGGCGGCGTATGGGGGGTTTGCCGTAGAACGGGAGGGAGCATTAAGGCCCGGCCCAGGCCCAGGCCCAAGCGTATGGGGATTCGCCGCGTGTGCACAAGTTCAACTCTTCTTCATCATACATATCATACATAATACATTCATTTCTCCGACAAATATTTTCGAACAAAGGGAGTATCTTTTTAAGAAGGCTGAGCTTTGGATCGATTTCTTTCCACTCTTGTGCAACAATCACCTCTCAAATGCCATGACCTCCAATCTTTCGTAGAATTAAGAGCACATTCACTCTAGTATCCTAAGAACACGTACTCACCAAGTGTTGAAGCCAATCACTACCAGAATAGCAGAATGACTTTTCATTCGAGATTGGACGTTCTTGACGCATAGCATATCACAAGGCTCTACTTTTAGTGCATGCCACAACTGCATGTGATATTCATCTTCTGAAGCATTTCCACAAATAGTCCAAACATCATCAAGTTCTAAAGTTCTCTTCTGTTTATTTTGTTAGGTAGTTAAAGTATTAGTTGCTACCCTCCACCCCAACAATTTGAAAAAAAAATCCGACGCATTGGATTTTCATATCACATCCCAAATGCTGCGAACATATGCCTTTCCAGACGAACTCGAGGCGGCAAAAATCCCATGAGTTCGGTCTAGGTTGTTTGTACTCTTGAGCGTGAAAATCACTTGACTTTTCATAGTGCCACACAATGCAACCCTCGGTCGTACTGGTTGGGGTACGGATTTTGTATATTTCCTCGGCATCAAAAGGATGAAAGATTTGGTTTACGAGCTCTGTATCCCACTCTTTGGACCCCTCCTTCATAAGTTGATTGGCCTATCTGCAAACAGATATGAAAACCTGTCCCAAGTGATTCTGAGCTACAATACTGGATTATATGGTTCATCTATCTCTGGTTGCCTACCTTTGGTTCACCAATAGAAATTTTTGAAAAAGCTCCATTTTTAGCCAGTAGTGGTGATGCGACCTTCCTCTGTAGGTGATGCTTCCAAAGCATAGAACAGGAAGATAGTGAACAAAAAAGGATGTCACTGATGCTAAAAAAACTGGGCAACATTGGTTATCTGGCCACTATGTATATCTGTATTTGGTATATAATCCTTCCTTTCACACAACAATAGCAATTGTCCATGCCTCCCCCATGGCATGTTCAGCTTAATGCCTACTGAATCTCAAGATACAAAAAGACATTATTCAATCATGAAATTGAATAAGTTTTTCGGTGGAACAAATCAAATTAATGTTGTGAAACATCACAAACCATATAATATGAAAACACCGAATGAAAAAATGAAACTATCTGTGTGTGCATGATTGGTCATCTGGTCTTAATGAATACGTATATGTAGAACAATATTCTTCATTTCACATAAGATACAAGAGTTGTGTTATAAATAAAATGCAAGAAACTTGGAAAATATCAAAACTTTCAATGGCGCAATTGAAGTCCAGAACTCTTGCTCAATCATAAGGGTATCTAAATGCCAATGACTATTGAAAAATAAGAAGAACATCGTAGCAAAATATTGTTAGTGAAAAGGGGCATGATATAAACACATATGACTTTTTGTTCATATGTATGTGAGAAACAAGTCAATTCTAGCTAGTGCACTTTTTGATACGTTAGAAGAAAGATGACATCTATACATGTGACTTAAGCTCAAATGGTTTGAGCACACACATGTTATTTATGTAATAGTTTAACACAATTGTATGATACAATGCATACCAAGGTAGAACAAAAATATGTCAAAACAAGGTAGATCAAACTTTTATGGAGGCTAGAAACATAAGAACATGAACATTTTCTTATAGAGGAAAGGGGAAGAGAAGGAGACGGAAGCGCGGCGGCATTGCAAGGAACAAAAGGGCACGACGAGGAGTGGCGGCTAGGGTTTTCATCCGCTTAGAGGCCACATCAGAGAGAAAGAGAGAGTGCACAGGCGATTAGGGTTCCCTCACCTCCCGTCGGAGCCGCCATCGATCTACCTCGCTTATGTGGCCTTCGGGCCATGGAGGCGGGGTGGATCTCGGCCCCCGCCTCGAGAGGGCTCTGTTTTCCTGGTTTTAGGGTAAATGTTTGGTGGGACGACACTTAGATGGTGGTGGTGGTGTCTTCTCCAATAAAGTCTCCCCGGCTTCAGCCCCATCTCGGCGACGACGTCGGGAAGCCTGTGGGAGTGGTGTGGTTCTTGAGGACTTCTTCTAGTTGTGGAGATCCGTGGATCGTCAAGGAGCTTCATCGGCGGTTCTTCCTCCTTCGTCATCTCCGGGACGGATGTGGTCTTCTTGACCCGTTCGGCGACTTCCCGTCTGCATCCAACTAAGTCAGGCCGGCTCATGGAGGAGCGGCAATGGCGGCGCATCGTCGACATGGTCTGGAGGTTGAAGACGAAGGGCATCTCAAGGAGTCCATTGTAATTTTCGTTTTTGTTGAGGTGCTTTGTACTATCTAGTGTTTCTTTTAATGCCAGGGTCCTTTTCGCACAATTGTATGTGAGAAACAAGTCAATTCTAGCTAGTGCACTTTTGGATACGTTAGAAGAAAGATGACATCTATACATGTGACTTAAGCTCAAATGGTTTGAGCACACACATGTTATTTATGTAATAGTTTAACACAATTGTATGATACAATGCATACCAAGGTAGAACAAAAATATGTCAAAACAAGGTAGATCAAACTTTTATGGAGGCTAGAAACATAAGAACATGAACATTTTCTTATAGAGGAAAGGGGAAGAGAAGGAGACGGAAGCGCGGCGGCATTGCAAGGAACAAAAGGGCACGACGAGGAGTGGCGGCTAGGGTTTTCATCCGCTTAGAGGCCACATCAGAGAGAAAGAGAGAGTGCACAGGCGATTAGGGTTCCCTCACCTCCCGTCGGAGCCGCCATCGATCTACCTCGCTTATGTGGCCTTCGGGCCATGGAGGCGGGGTGGATCTCAGCCCCCGCCTCGAGAGGGCTCTGTTTTCCTGGTTTTAGGGTAAATGTTTGGTGGGACGACACTTAGATGGTGGTGGTGGTGTCTTCTCCAATAAAGTCTCCCCGGCTTCAGCCCCATCTCGGCGACGACGTCGGGAAGCCTGTGGGAGTGGTGTGGTTCTTGAGGACTTCTTCTAGTTGTGGAGATCCGTGGATCGTCAAGGAGCTTCATCGGCGGTTCTTCCTCCTTCGTCATCTCCGGGACGGATGTGGTCTTCTTGACCCGTTCGGCGACTTCCCGTCTGCATCCAACTAAGTCAGGCCGGCTCATGGAGGAGCGGCAATGGCGGCGCATCGTCGACATGGGCTGGAGGTTGAAGACGAAGGGCATCTCAAGGAGTCCATTGTAATTTTCGTTTTTGTTGAGGTGCTTTGTACTATCTAGTGTTTCTTTTAATGCCAGGGTCCTTTTCGCAAAAAAGAAGAGGCCAAGCCCTCTCCTATCAAACCCTAAGCCACCATGAGAAATCCCAAAACTACCCCCACCCAAATTCTGGAAAATATCCAACGGCCGAGCTCGCATAAAAAAATATCGAACGACTGAAATGATCCGGACCCAGAGATAGACGCCCACGATCGCATCGGCAAATCGACCGGGCGGACGATATGGTCCAAGCTCTGAGTGGCCCTAGTGCGTCGGCAAATCAACCGGACGGCGGATATGCTCTAAGCTCGGAAAACCCTAGTTTCTTGCATCTACATAACCATGGTATGGGTTGGAATTCCCAAGTGCGCCGCCGGTCATGCCCCCATCCAAAAAGCCCAGCGAGCTCCTCCGCGCATCCCTATCCCCGCTAGAGGCGACCTACCATATTTTATCTGAACTCTGAAGGCAGCTGCATCCATGGAGAGCATGCCGGAGGAGCGGCGGCCGAAGCTTTCTGACGCCGGAGGCGGCGAGGACCGTCTTAGTGCATTGCACGACGACGCCCTCATCCAGATCCTCCTCAAGCTCCGTTGCCTCGCTACAGCCGCCCGGACCAGCGTCCTCTGCCGCCGTTGGCGCCACCTTTGGGCCCTCCTCCCGAAGCTGCACTTCTACAACGCGACAGACCCCCGCCGCATACGCTCCGCCCTCGCCGCCCACGAGGCCCCGGCGCTCCAGGAGCTCGTCGTCGTCCAGCAGGACGCCTCTTTCGGGCCCACAGGGGCGTGGCTCCCCATCGCCGCACGCCGCCTCTCCGGCTTACTGTTTTGCCACTATCTGTCGCAGAGGGTCAGGGCTAGGAGAAGAGCTGCCTTGAAGCTGCCATGCTTCGAGAGCGCCACCGGGATCTCTATGCGGTTAGGGTTCCTCCGCCTTACGCTGCCGCCTTCCGGCGTGTTCGCCCGACTCAGTCTTCTTCATCTCTTTCAGCTCCGGCTGCACGGTATGTGTGAGCTCGGTGCCATTGTCTCCTCGCCGCGGTGCCCATGCTTGGGTAGACTCGTCGTCGATGACGTCCGGGGTGTGGGCGGCCTCGCAATCCACTCGGAATCTCTTGGACAAATTGAGCTATATAATCTGCCCGACTTGCAGCAGCTCACCATCGTGGCGCCATCACTCCAGCAGCTAAAAGTGCAGGATTGCTTTGCTCCGGTTGCGCGGCAACCGGTTGCCAGCATCTCAGCCCCACACCTGCTGCAGCTCGCATGGATAGATGATTATGATCAAAACTCCGTCAAGCTTGGCGAGATGGCACACCTACAACGGCTTGACCTCCAACAATTTATCGTATATAGAAAGGACTACATTATTGCTTCGCACAACCGTAATTGTGCGCTTCTTTTGCGGCGCTTTGAACGCCTACACAGTCTTGTTATCACTCTTCATTGCCCCCCGGTGAGTTCATACTATGTATAATCTATGTCATTGTTGAACATGCTATGTACAATCCGTGTCATTGTTTAACTACTATATATGTATAATCCTTTTGTCTGTGACCTCTCATACGAACCGACAGGACATAGCTAACAAGAAATACTTGATGGAAGATATAACAAGGGTTCCTGATGTTAAATTATTGGGATTGGGCATAACAGCATGTGGACATTCCTTTGGAGCCAGCTTATTTCATGTTCTGCGGATGTGTACTGCAATAAGAAGGCTGAATCTTGGTCTTATCGTCGCACCTGAACACGAGGTATGCTATTCTCAATTTGTTTATCTGTCTAGGAGTATTCTCAGTTTGTTGTCATCTATCTGCTATAATTTTATGTCCATCAAACCAGATCGGTTGGTCTTGTTAAGCCAATGTGCCCCTTGTTTCAGGCAGAAACTGTGTGCCCATCAGGTTGTATATGTGATCAGCCGCCAAGCTGGAAAACCAGGGAACTCGTGTTGAATTGCCTCGAAGAAGTAGAAATATTTGACTTGAAAGGAAGTGAGCATGAAATCAGTGTTGTGAATCGTCTATTCAGTTGGGCACCGGTGCTAAAAAGGATGACAGTAAATTTCCATTACTCGGTCACGGAAAACAAAGCTGAAGAGCTCTGCCAAGTGTTACTAACCTTTTCCAGGCCGGAAATATGTATGATTTGTAGGATGCCCAACATGTCGGAGAAAGTTTTGCATGCTTAACAAGACACCAATTTTTCCCCAGTATCCATTGATTGTCAGTTGGGCGAGCAGCTTATGTGAGACTGGACTAAACTAGTTTAAACTGTAGCGACAATCTTCATGTGCGTGTAGCTAGCTGCTAGTTTCCCTCTCCATGATTTATGGTTTGATACTCATATGCTTGGTATGCATTTTGTGTGCGGTAACTAACTGTATGCCTCATGCCTATTAAAATCACAAGAATTTACTACTCTTCAAGTTTGAGAAATTGGCATGCTACTTTGGTTAATAACTTTGTAATAGGATTTCAGTTTACAAGATTGTCAGTTTGTTGGAAATGAAAAATGGTAACCAATTTTGTCTTGTCTGCTTTCCTTCCTCGGCAAAAGTTTTGATCTCCAAAAATTTGGGTCTAGTGCCAACCATCCAAAGCTATATATGCTTATTTCCTCCTCTTATCAACAATTTCTATAGTTGTCATTTCCACACGTATATATTGGGATGAGATGCTTAATTTGGAACGCAAAATACGAGCCCTTCTACAAAGCCTCTGATGAGGAACAATATAATAGGCCTTACCAGTTATCTGTTTCTAGGATTAATTCTTGTCGAAATCTCAAAGCTAAAGGTGCTGAGCTGGAATCTCATTCTAAGGATTCTTGTGTAATGAACAAGGGATACTACACAGAATATATGTGCTAATGAAACAATCACCTCCACTAAGCATCATGCATCCAAGAGGCTCGGAGATAAGTAAGCCATCACGCATTGCGTGCACCTGGAGGTTGACCATCATCAAGGTCCATTGTGAGGGTATACACCATGGCAGGTATGCCAAGCGAGAGGAGCACGGAGATAACACAGTTGCCGACCAGGTGGTCCTTGTCCCTGCTCCGTGGAACCATGACCGCGAAGATGAAGACTATAAATAGGACACACGCCGTGTTGGCGAACGCCTGCACAAGATTAAAAAAAACAAAGAACTTGTGAGGCAAAACAAAGGATATATATATTCTCATACTGGACATATACAGGATCAAGGCAACACGCATGATAGCTTGCTCAGGCTGCAGGTGGGCACGTACCACGTACGTACCCTGAATGCGCCGACCCATGGAGGGTTGGTTTTCTTGGGTTTTGGCACCAGGCGTGGCGCCACCGTCCAAGCCTGCGGCTGCGGCTGCGGCAGCCATCCTTCCTCTAGCAAGCTGCAGCGCAGATCGTACGCCGGCGCCGGCATCGGCGCCGCCATGGACAGGAGCTTGGGAGGGTCGAGGCCGGTGGCCGTTCTTTGGTAGATGGACGTGCCGGAGTATATGTTATATATCTTGGTCGATTGGTTCAATCGCGACGAGTGTATATATAGATTGATTATATAAATATCTAAAATATCTTATAATCCAAAACAGAGGTTAGTACTCTACTTGCTTACGAAGAGGACTCCGATCCGGTCAGGTACCGCGTACCTGCGTACGTGCTATCAGTGGAGTACGTGCTAAAGGCGTATGCAGCCGTCACCACTCCCTTACCCAAGCCAACTTGAACTTGTTGATGACAGCCGACCGAAGCGTTGCTGTCGTCACTTTCCTATATCAGAGCCAGCTTGACCTTATCGATGACAGCCAACCAACGCGCCAATGTCGGTGTTTCCCTATCTGAGTCGGCTTGACCTTGTCGATGACAGTCAACCGACATGCCACTATCGATGCTCCCCTACCTGAGCCCCCTTGACCTTGTTGATGGCAGCCGACCGATGCGCGAGTGTCAGCGCTTCCCTACCTAAGCCAGCTTGATCTTATCGATGACAGTCGGCCGACCATTGTCGACGCTCCCTACCTGAGTCGGCTTGACCTTGTCTATGACAACCGGTCGACGCACCACTATCGATGCTCCCCTACCTTAGTTGGCTTAACCTTGTCCATGATAACCGGTCGACGCGCCATTGTCGCCGCTCCCCTATCGGAGCCGGTTTGACCTTGTCGATGACACCCGGTAAGTCTTCGTGTATGTGCCCCTAAAGACAAACGCCCTGGAGCCGTACTTGTCGTCGTTGAACCCTTGCATAGATCTAAAGCATCTGGCACCAAATCTCGTCACATGACGAGAAACTCTATCCTCACTGCCCAAGGAGACGGCGGGAATCTATGTTGGAGCTATGTCCAGATGGATAAACTCGAGGAGGAATGGAGCCCGGAAGACAAACTCGAGGCGGCAAAAATTCCATGAGTTCGGTCTAGGTTGTTTGCACTCTTGAGCGTGAAATCACTTGACTTTTCATAGTGCCACACAATGCAGCCCTCGGTCGTACTGGTTGGGGTACGGATTTTGTATATTTCCTCGGCATCAAAAGGATGAAAGATTTGGTTTACAAGCTCTGTATCCCGCTCTTTGGACCCCTCCTTCATAAGTTGATTGGCATATCTGCAAACAGATATGAAAACCTCTCCCAAGTGATTCCGAGCTACAATACTGGATTATGTTTCATCTATCTCTGGTTGCCTACCTTTGGTTCACCAATAGAATTATTTTAAGAAGCTCCATTTTTAGCCAGTAGTGGTGATGAGACCTTCCTCTGTATGTGATGCTTCCAAAGCATACAACAGGAAGATAGTGAACAAAAAAGGATGTCACTGATGCTAAAAAACTGGGCAACATTGGTTATCTGGCCACTATGTATATCTGTATTTGGTATATAATCCTTCCTTTCACACAACAATAGCAATTGTCCATATGACTATTGAAAAATAAGAAGAACATCGTAGCAAAATCTTGTTAGTGAAAAGGAACATGATATGAACACATATGACTTTTTGTGCATATGTATGTGAGAAACAAGTCAATTCTAGCTAGTGCATTTTTGGATACGTGAGAAGAAAGATGACATCTATACATGTGACTTAAGCTCAAATGGTTTGAGCACATGCATGCTATTTATGTAATAGTTTAACACAATTGTATGATACAATGCATGCCAAGGTAGAACAAAAAATATGTCAAAACAAGGTAGATCAAACTTTTATGGAGGCTAGAAACATAATAACATGAACCATTTTCTTATAGAGGAAAGGGAAGAGAAGGAGACGGAAGCGCGGCGGCATTGCAAGGAGCAAAAGGGCACGATGAGGAGTGGCGGCTAGGTTTTTCATCCGCTTTAGAGGCCACATCAGAGAGAAAGAGAGAGTGCACAGGCGATTAGGTTTCCCTCGCCTCCCGTCGGCGCCGCCACCGATCTACCTCGCTTATGTGGCCTTCAGGCTATGGAGGCAGGGTGGATCTCGGCCCCCGCCTCGAGAGGGCTCTGTTTTCCTGGTTTTAGGGTAAATGTTTGGTGGGATGACACTTAGATGGTGGTGGTGGTGTCTTCTCCAATAAAGTGTCCCCGGCTTCAGCCCCATCTCGGCGACGACGTCCGGAAGCTTGTGGGAGTGGTGTGGTTCTTGAGGACTTCTTCTAGTTGTGGAGATTCGTGGATCGTCAAGGAGCTTCATCGGCGGTTCTTCCTCCTTCGTCATCTCCAAGACGGATGTGGTCTTCTTGACCCGCTCGGCGACTTCTCGTTTGCATCCAACTAAGTCTGGAGGTTGAAGACGAAGTGTATCTCAAGGAGTCCATTGTAATTTTCATTTTTGTTGAGGTCCTTTGTACTATCTGGTGTTTCTTTTAATGCCAGGGTCCTTTTCGCAAAAAAGAAGAGGCCAAGCCTTCTCCTATCAAACCCTAAGCCACCATGCGAAATCCCAAAACTACCCCCACCCAAATCCTGAAAAATATCCAACGGCCGAGGTCGCATGAAAAAATATCGAACGACTGAAATGATCTGGACCTAGAGATAGACGCCCACGATTGCATCGGCAAATCGATCGGGTGGACGATATGGTCCAAGCTCTGAGTGGCCCTAGTGCGTCGGCAAATCAATCAAACGGCAGATATGCTCTAAGCTTGGAAAACCCTAGTTTCTAGCATCTACATAACCATGGTATGGGTTGGAATTCCCAAGTGCGCCGCCGGCTAAATACGAAGCCAACATGTTCCACAAAAATGGTATGGGTTGGAATTCAGATCGGCTAAATACGAAGGCCAACATGTTCCACAAAAATGTGGCTCAATCCGCAACTTGCCCTCGATGTCAAGACCTGTATGAGGATGCTCTTCATCTCATCTCCACCTGCTCCTTTGCTACACAAGTTTGGTCCAGCTTGGGCCTGTCTGCTCCGACCTCCCTCACTGCTCTTCATCAACACCCACCGATTCTGGGCCTCAACCCTAGCATCTGGCCATCGGTGGCCTTGACCATAACTTGGAAGCTATGGGACTCAAGAAATGCTCTCGTCTTCAGGAACGATGATCACTCTCACAGAATAACGCTAAGAAATATTGTAGCTGACTTCTTTCTCTGGGTTTTCCGGTTCAAAAAAACTGATGACAGCAACTCGGCTAGACAGTGGCTAAATTTTCTCTCCTCTGCAATCCCTTCTAGCTGAACTTGTAACAATAACTTGCCTGTATTCCTCTGATCTCTTTGAGTGGTAATATATTCAGGTGGGGAAGCTCTCCCTCCGGTGACCGTTCAAAAAAAAATTAGCAGGGCTATGGGCTGTATTGTAATGATTCTTTCTAGGGACTGCTCCTGTTTTGTGACTAGATTGATAATGTAGCCAGTATGTCGCAATTTATTAGATTCATCTTTAAATGCTTAGTTCATGTACCTGCTGACACTGCTTACCTTTTTAGGTAACAAATCAGCGCTTGACTAAGAAGGATCCTGAGAGAGATGTGCGCCATTTTGAATTGGAAGACCCATCTTATGTATTTTCTTTGTTCAATGTGATGATGTTAGCTTGCAGTCATCTTGTTAACACATGAATAGATTGAAAGATGCTAATTTTGTCATGTTAGGCGGTCCGTTATCAAGTCGGTGATGCTTTAGAAATTCTACCAAGTCAGAATCCATCAGCTGTTAATGCTTTCATCAAACGTTGTAACTTGGATCCAGATTGCTACATATCGGTACGTGGCTTTGT